GGCACTCACAGGACGCCATATAGGTATCCCAACTCCCTATACATCGACAGAACAGTCTGACTACATCTGGCACTCACAGGACGCCATGTAGGTATCCCAACTCCCTATACCCCGACAGAACACTCTGACTACATCTGGCACTCACAGGACGCCATGTTGGTATCCCAATACCCTATACCTCGACAGAACAGTCTGACTACATCTGTCACTCACAGGACGCCATAAAGGTATCCCAACTCCCTATACATCGACAGAACAGTCTGACTACATCTCTCACTCACAGGACGCAATATAGGTATCCCCATAGCCAATATCTCGTCAGAACAGTCTGACAACATCTGACATTCACAGGACGCCATGTAGGTGTCGCCATACCCAATACTTCGACAGAACAGTCGGATGACATCTGGCACTCACAGGACGCTATTTAGGTAACCCCATACCTCGACAGAACAGTCTGATTACCTCTTGCACTCACAGGACGCCATTTAGGTACCCATTACATTGACAGAACAGTCTGACTACATCTGTCACTCACAGGACGCCAGATAGGTACTTTATACCTCGATAAAACAGCCCGACCACATCTGTCACTCACAGGACGCCATGTAGGTAACCCCGTACCCCATACATTGACAGAACAGTCTGATTACATCCGACACTCACAGTACGCCATGTAGGTAACCCCATAGCCCATACCTCGACAGAACAGTCTGACCACATCTGACATTCACAGGGCGCCATGTAGGTGTCACCATACCCCATACTTCGACAGAACAGTCTGATGACATCTCGCACTCACAGGATGCATTTAGGTAACCCTATACCCCATACCTCGACAGAACAGTCTGACTACATCTGGCATTCACAGGACGCCATGTAGGTATCCCCATTCCCTATACTTTGACCGAACAGTCTTATTACCTCTTGAACTCACAGGACGATATTTAGGTACCCCATTCATCGACAGAACAGTCTGACTACATCTGGCATTCACAGGACGCCACGTAGGTATCCCCATTCCCTATACTTTGACCGAACAGTCTTATTACCTCTTGAAATCACAGGACGCCATGTAGGTAACCCCATAGCCCATACCTTGACAGAACAGTCTGTCTACATTTGGCACTCACAGGACGCCATATAGGTACCCTCATACCCCATACCTCGACAGAACAGTCTGACCACATCTGACATTCACAGGACGCCATGTAGGTACCCCAACTCCCTATACATCGACAGAACAGTCTGATTACATCCGACACTCACAGGACGCCATGTAGGTATCCCCATACCCCATACCTGGACAGAACAGTCTGATTACATCTGTCACTCACAGGACACCATGTAGGTATCCCCATACCCCATACCTGGACAGAACAGTCTGATTACATCTGTCACTCACAGGACGCCATGTACGTAACCCCGTACCCCATACCTCGACAGAACAGTCTGACTACATCTGGCACTCACAGGACGCCATATAGGTATCCCAACTCCCTATACAGCGACAGAACAGTCTGACTACATCTGGCACTCACAGGACGCCATGTAGGTAACCCCATAGCCCATACCTCGACAGAACAGTCTGAGTACATCTCTCACTCACAGGACGCCATGTAGGTGTTGCCATACCCCGTACTTCGACAGAACATTCTGATGACATCTGGCACTCACAGGACGCCATGTAGGTAACCCCATACCTCGACAGAACAGTCTGACTACATCTGGCATTCACAGGACGCCATGTAGGAATCCCTATTCCCTATACTTCGACAGACCAGTCTGATTACCTCTAGCACTCGAGGGACGCCATGTAGGTAACCCCATAGCCCATACCTCGACAGAACAGTCTGTCTACATTTGGCACTCACAGGACGCCATATAGGTACCACCATACCCCATACCTCGAGAGAACAGTCTGACTACATCTTGCACTCACAGGACGCCATATAGGTATCCTAATTCCCTATACTTCGACAGAACAGTCTGATTACCTCTGGCACTCACAGGATGCCATGTAGGTATCCTCATACCCCATACCTCGACAGAACAGTCTGACTACATTTGGCATTCACAGGACGCCATATAGGTACCCTCATACCCCAAAGCTCGACAGATCAGTATGACTACATCTGTCACTCACAGGACGCCATGTAGGTAACCCCATAGCCCATACATCGACAGAACAGTCTGACTACATCTGTCACTCACAGGACGCCATGTAGGTAACCCCATAGCCCATACCTCGACAGAACAGTCTGACTACATCTGTAACTCTCAGGACGCCATATAGGTAACCCCATAGCCAATACCTCGACAGAACAGTCTGACCACATCTGACATTCACAGGGCGCCATGTAGTTGTCGCCATACCACATACCTCGACAGAACAGTCTGATGACATCTGACACTCACAGGACGCCATTTAGGTATCCCCATAGCCCATACCTCGACAGAACAGTCTGACTACATTTGGCATTCACAGGACGCCATATAGGTATCCCCATTCCCTATACTTCGACAGAACAGTCTCATTAGTCTTGCACTCACAGCACGCCATATAGGTACCCTCATACCCTATACATCGACAGAACAGTCTGACTACATCTGGCACTCACAGGACACCATTTAGGTAACCCCATACCTCAACAGAACAGTCTGACTACATCAGGCACTCGCAGGACTCCATTTAGGTAACCCCATACCTCAACAGAATAGTCTGACCACATCTGGCACTCACAGGACGCCATGTAGGTATCCAAACTCCCTATAGATCGACTGAACAGTCTGACTACATCTGGCACTCACAGGACACCATTTAGGTAACCCCATACCTCAACAGAACACTCTGACTACATCAGGCACTCATAGGACGCAATGTAGGTATCCTCATACCCCAAACCTCGACAGAACATTCTGACTACGTCTGACACTCACAGGACGCCATTTAGGTAACCCCATACCTCAACAGAACACTCTGACTACATCAGGCACTCACAGGACGCAATGTAGGTATCCTCATACCCCAAACCTCGACAGAACAGTCTGACTACGTCTGACACTCACAGGACGCCATATAGGTATCCCAATTCACTATACTTCGACAGAACAGTCTGATTAGTCTTGCACTCACAGCACGCCATATAGGTACCCTCATACCCTATACATCGACAGAACAGTCTGACTACATCTGGCACTCACAGGACTCCATTTAGGTAACCCCATACCTCAACAGAACAGTCTGACTACATCAGGCACTCACAGGACGCCATTTAGGTAACCCCATACCTCAACAGAACAGTCTGACTACATCAGGCACTCACAGGACGCAATGTAGTTATCCTCATACCCCAAACCTCGACAGAACAGTCTGACTACGTCTGACACTCACAGGACGCCATTCAGGTAACCACATACCCCATACCTCGACAGAACAGTCTGACCACATCTGACATTCACAGGACGCCATGTAGGTATCCCAACTCCCTATAGATCGACAGAACAGTCTGACTACATCTGGCACTCACAGGACGCCATATAGGTACCACCATACCCCATACCTCGACAGAACAGTCTGACTACATCTGGCAATCACAGGATGCCATGTAGGTAACCCCATAGACCATACCTCGACAGAACAGTCTGACTACATCTGGCACTCACAGGACGCCATATAGGTACTACCATACCCCATACCTCGACAGAACAGTCTGACTACATCTGGCACTCACAGGACGCCATATAGGTATCCCAATTCACTATACTTCGACAGAACAGTCTGATTAGTCTTGCACTCACAGCACGCCATATAGGTACCCTCATACCCCATACCTCGACAGAACAGTCTGACTACATCTGTCACTCACAAGGAAGCCATATAGGTACCCTCATACACCATACCTCGACAGAACAGTCAGACTACATCTGTCACTCTCAAGAAGCCATGTAGGTATCCCCTTACCCCATACCTGGACAGAACATACTGACTACATCTGTAACTTACAGGACGCCATATAGGTACCACATCCCTCGACAGAACAGTCTGTCTACATTTGGCACTCACAGGACGCCATATAGGTACCCTCATACCCCATATCTCGACAGAACAGTCAGACTACATCTGTCACTCACAAGAAGCCATGTAGGTATCCCCTTACCCCATACCTGGACAGAACAGTCTGTTTACATCTGACACTCACAGGACGCCATATAGGTACTACCATAACCCACACCTCGACAGAACAGTCTGACTACATCTGGCACTCACAGGACGCCATGTAGGTAACCCCATAGACCATACCTCGACAGAACAGTCTGACTACATTTGGCACTCACAGAACGCCATGTAGGTATCCCCATACCCCATACCTCGACAGAACAGTCTGACTACATCTGTCACTCACAGGACGCCATGTAGGTATCCCCTTACCCCATACCTCGACAGAACAGTCTGACCACATCTGACATTCACAGGACGCCATGTAGGTATCCCAACTCCCTATACATCGACAGACCATTCTGACTACATCTGGCACTCACAGGACACCATTTAGGTAACCCCATACCTCAACAGAACAGTCTGACAACATCTGGCCCTCACAGGACGCAATGTAGGTATCCTCATACCCCAAACCTCGACAGAACAGTCTGACTACATCTGACACTCACAGGACGCCATTTAGGTAACCCCATACCTCGACAGAACAGTCTGACTACATCAGGCACTCACAGGACGCAATGTAGGTATCCTCATACCCCAAACCTCGACAGAACAGTCTGACTACATGTGACACTCACAGGACGCCATTCAGGTAACCACATACCCCAAACCTCGACAGAACAGTCTGACTACGTCTGACACTCACAGGACGCCTTATAGGCAACACATCCCTCGACAGAACAGTCTGAGTTAACACTTCAACATATGTAAGTACCACCCTATACTTATGATTGTACCAATCCAACCATTAAGACTGAACAAATACTTTCTTTGGTAGAACTACGTGTACTGGACTGACCTGAGACGCGGTAATGTCATGAGAATGGACAAACATTCAGGAGGAGACAAGCTTTTGGTTCTCAGCAGCGCCGTTCATCCGCACGGCGTGAAGCCCTTCAACCCTGATCAACAACCAGCAGGTATGTGTATGGATCCAAATACATTTACAGGATCTGTATGATTTAGATATATTTTAATTAAGATGAAAGATGAAGCATACAACTAAAAATAATACCACCGAATGGTAAACACGCGTTGCTGTGTTGTTCTTATGGTAGTGGTGCGGTCAGGCTATATTTTCCCTACTGTTTAACATTGTACGGAAGTGGACCATTGGTTATTCATCTTAATGGTGTTGTGTTACTTCCTGGTCCCAACTCGTACGTAATTCATCTCAAAAACGTTGTGTTACCTCACGGCCCCACCTCTTACATAATTCATCCTTACATGTTTGTGTTACCTTCGGGCCCCACCTCGTACGTAATTCATCTTAACAGTGTTGTGCTACCTCCTAGCCCCACCTCCAACGTAATTCAACTTAACACTGCTCTGTTTCCTCATGGCCCCACCTCCAACGTAATTCATCTTAACAGTGTTGTGTTACCTCCTGGCCCCAGCTCGTACGTAATTCATCTCAACAGTGTTTAGTTACCTCCTAGACCCACCTCGTACGTATTTCATCCTAACAGTGTTGTGCTACCTCCTGCCTCAACCTCCAACGTAATTCATCTCAAGAACGTTGTGTTATCTCCTGGCCCTAACTCCAACGTAATTCATGTTAACAGTGCTGTGTTACCTCCTGGCCCCACCTCGTACGTAATTCATCTCAACAGTGTTTTATTACCTCCTAGCCCCACCTCGTACGCAAGTGTCGTGTTATCTTCTGGCCACATCTCCAACGTAATTCATCTTAACAGTGCTCTGTTACTTCCTGGCCTCACCTGGTCCGTAATTCATCTCAACAACGTTGTGTTACCTCCTGACCCCACCTCGTACGTAATTCATCTCAGCAGTGTTTTGTTACCTCCTAGCCTCACCTCCAACGTACTTCATCTTAACAGTGTTGTCTTACCTCCTGGCCCGACCTCGTACGTCATTCATCTTAACAGTGTCATTTTATCTTCTGGCCCCACCTCCAATGTAATTCATCTTAAGTGTGCTCTGATACTTCCTGGCACCACCTCCAACGTAAATCATCTCAAATACATTTTGTTACCTTCTGGCCCCACCTCGTACGTCATTCATCTTAACAGTGTTGTGTTACCTCCTGGCCCCAACTCGTACGTAATTCATCTTAACAGTGTTGTGTTACCTCCTGGTCCCGCCTCGTGCGTAATTCATCTTAACAGTGTTGTGTTACCTCCTGGCCCCACCTCGTACGTAATTCATCTCAACGGTGTTTTGTTACCTCCTAGCCCCACCTCCAACGTAATTCGTCTTAACAGTGTTGTGCTACCTCCTGACCCCACTTCCAACATAATTCGTCTCAACAGTGTTGTGTTACTTCCTGGCACCACCTCGTACCTAATTCATCCTAACAGTGTTGTGCTACCTCCTCGCCCCACCTCCAACGTAATTCATCTCAACAACGTTGTCTTACCTATTTGTCCCACCTCCAACGTAATTCATCTTAACAATGCTGTGTTACCCCCTGGCACCACCTCGTCCGTAAATCATCTCAACAACGTTGTGTTACCTCCTGGCCCCACCTCCAACGTAATTTATCTTAAGAATGTTGTGTTACCTCCTGGCCCAACCTCGTTCATAATTCATCTCAACAACGTCATTTTACCTCCTGGTCCCTTCTCGTGCCTAATTCATCTTAACAATGTTGTGCAATCTCCTGGCCCCACCTCGTACCTAATTCATCCTAACAGTGTTGTGCTACCTCCTCGCCCCACCTCCAACGTAATTCATCTCAACAACGTTGTCTTACCTATTTGTCCCACCTCCAACGTAATTCATCTTAACAATGCTGTGTTACCCCCTGGCACCACCTCGTCCGTAAATCATCTCAACAACGTTGTGTTACCTCCTCACCCCACCTCCAACGTAATTCATCTCAACAACGTCGTGTTACCTCCTGCCCCACCTCGTACGTAATTCATCTTAACAATGTTTTGTTACCTCCTGGCCCCAGCTCGTACGTAATTCATCTCAACAGTGTTTTGTTACCTCCCAGACCCACCTCGTACGTATTTCATCCTAACAGTGTTGTGCTACTTCCTGGCTTAACCTACAACGTAATTCATCTCAACAACGTCGTGTTACCTCCTGGCCCCACCTCGTACGTAATTCATCTCAACGGTGTTTTGTTACCTCCTAGCCCCACCTCCAACGTAATTCATCTTAACAGTGCTGTGTTACTTCCTGGCCCCACCTCCAAAGTAATTGATCGTAACAGTGTTGTGTTACTTCCTGGCCCCACCTCGTACCTAATTCATCCTAACAGTGTTGTGCTACCTCCTCGCCCCACCTCCAACGTAATTCATCTTAACAATGCTGTGTTACCCCTGGCACCACCTCGTCCGTAAATCATCTCAACAACTTTGTGTTACCTCCTGGCCCCACCTCCAATGTAATTCATCTTAAGAATGTTGTGTTACCTCCTGGCCCAACCTCGTTCATAATTCAACTCAACAACGTCGTGTTACCTCCTGGTCCCGTCTCGTGCCTAATTCATCTTAACAGTGTTGTGCAATCTCAACAGTGTTTAGTTACCTCCTAGACCCACCTCGTACGTATTTCATCCTAACAGTGTTGTGCTACCTCCTGCCTCAACCTCCAACGTAATTCATCTCAAGAACGTTGTGTTATCTCCTGGCCCTAACTCCAACGTAATTCATGTTAACAGTGCTGTGTTACCTCCTGGCCCCACCTCGTACGTAATTCATCTCAACAGTGTTTTATTACCTCCTAGCCCCACCTCGTACGCAAGTGTCGTGTTATCTTCTGGCCACATCTCCAACGTAATTCATCTTAACAGTGCTCTGTTACTTCCTGGCCTCACCTGGTCCGTAATTCATCTCAACAACGTTGTGTTACCTCCTGACCCCACCTCGTACGTAATTCATCTCAGCAGTGTTTTGTTACCTCCTAGCCTCACCTCCAACGTACTTCATCTTAACAGTGTTGTCTTACCTCCTGGCCCGACCTCGTACGTCATTCATCTTAACAGTGTCATTTTATCTTCTGGCCCCACCTCCAATGTAATTCATCTTAAGTGTGCTCTGATACTTCCTGGCACCACCTCCAACGTAAATCATCTCAAATACATTTTGTTACCTTCTGGCCCCACCTCGTACGTCATTCATCTTAACAGTGTTGTGTTACCTCCTGGCCCCAACTCGTACGTAATTCATCTTAACAGTGTTGTGTTACCTCCTGGTCCCGCCTCGTGCGTAATTCATCTTAACAGTGTTGTGTTACCTCCTGGCCCCACCTCGTACGTAATTCATCTCAACGGTGTTTTGTTACCTCCTAGCCCCACCTCCAACGTAATTCGTCTTAACAGTGTTGTGCTACCTCCTGACCCCACTTCCAACATAATTCGTCTCAACAGTGTTGTGTTACTTCCTGGCACCACCTCGTACCTAATTCATCCTAACAGTGTTGTGCTACCTCCTTGCCCCACCTCCAACGTAATTCATCTCAACAACGTTGTCTTACCTATTTGTCCCACCTCCAACGTAATTCATCTTAACAATGCTGTGTTACCCCCTGGCACCACCTCGTCCGTAAATCATCTCAACAACGTTGTGTTACCTCCTGGCCCCACCTCCAACGTAATTTATCTTAAGAATGTTGTGTTACCTCCTGACCCAACCTCGTTCATAATTCATCTCAACAACGTCATTTTACCTCCTGGTCCCTTCTCGTGCCTAATTCATCTTAACAATGTTGTGCAATCTCCTGGCCCCACCTCGTACCTAATTCATCCTAACAGTGTTGTGCTACCTCCTCGCCCCACCTCCAACGTAATTCATCTCAACAACGTTGTCTTACCTATTTGTCCCACCTCCAACGTAATTCATCTTAACAATGCTGTGTTACCCCCTGGCACCACCTCGTCCGTAAATCATCTCAACAACGTTGTGTTACCTCCTCGCCCCACCTCCAACGTAATTCATCTCAACAACGTCGTGTTACCTCCTGCCCCACCTCGTACGTAATTCATCTTAACAATGTTTTGTTACCTCCTGGCCCCAGCTCGTACGTAATTCATCTCAACAGTGTTTTGTTACCTCCCAGACCCACCTCGTACGTATTTCATCCTAACAGTGTTGTGCTACTTCCTGGCTTAACCTACAACGTAATTCATCTCAACAACGTCGTGTTACCTCCTGGCCCCACCTCCAATGTAATTCATCTCAACGGTGTTTTGTTACCTCCTAGCCCCACCTCCAACGTAATTCATCTTAACAGTGCTGTGTTACTTCCTGGCCCCACCTCCAAAGTAATTGATCGTAACAGTGTTGTGTTACTTCCTGGCCCCACCTCGTACCTAATTCATCCTAACAGTGTTGTGCTACCTCCTCGCCCCACCTCCAACGTAATTCATCTTAACAATGCTGTGTTACCCCCTGGCACCACCTCGTCCGTAAATCATCTCAACAACTTTGTGTTACCTCCTGGCCCCACCTCCAATGTAATTCATCTTAAGAATGTTGTGTTACCTCCTGGCCCAACCTCGTTCATACTTCAACTCAACAACGTCGTGTTACCTCCTGGTCCCGTCTCGTGCCTAATTCATCTTAACAGTGTTGTGCAATCTCCTGACCCCACCTCGTACGTAATTCATTTTTACAGACTTGTGTTACCTCCTGGCCCCACCTCGTACGTAATTCATCTTGACATAGTTGGGTTACCTCCTAGCCCCACCTCCAACATAATTCATCTTAACGGTGCTGTGTTACCTCCTAGCCCCACCTCCAACGTAATTCATCTCAAGAACGTTGAGTTACCTCCTGGCCTCACCTTCAACGTAAGTCATCTTAACAGTGTTGTGTTACCTCACGTCCCCACCTCGTACGTAATTCATCTTGGCAGTGTTGTGTTACCTCCTGGCCTCACCTCCAACGTAATTCATCTTAATAGTGTTGTGTTACCTCATGTCCCCACCTCGTACATAATTCATCTT